CTCAAACACTATAAACATCTGTTGAATGTAAATTCCCTTCCTAATAAATTTGATAACAAAAAAAATTATAAAAAAATCAAATCAAAATTAAAGAACTTACCAAGAAAAAGAAAAATGCCCACCATGCCGATAACAAGACTAGCTACTCCAACAGAAATCATGAGACGAAAACTTTCTGAATGTCCATGTCCATGTTCTTCTTCACTGATAGTGAGCAATTGTATTGAATGTACAAGCAGAGCAAAACACAGCGCTAATAAGAAGACTGCATTAACCAGCGCACCCAAAACCTCAGAACGTACCCATCCATATGTATTATATGCAGTATTGGTTTTATTTGACATCTACGAAATAAAATGTGAGAAGAAGAAAATTTAGTACCTCTATTAAAGCGTAAACATAAAATAAACAGGTATGTTTCTGCAATTACTATTCTTTCACTAGAATCTTAATGGCTACACTATACTATTTGGCCCTACAAACAGTCATACATTTATTTCAAAATGTCAAGGCCAGATCACAAACAAAGTTAATCTCATAAGACAATTGCTATCAGACAATGTCAGATCATCTAAACAGAAACATCTGATGAGATAATTCTTATTAGATCTAGTAGGGTCATTACATGTGTTCCAATTGACTTCAGATTTGTCTTACAAATTGATAACAAAGTAGACCACCAAGACCAGGCCTTGTGACAATATGAAAACACATATTAGTTGCGTTCACGCACAGCTCCTTAGCACAGGCTAAGAGGTCAAATTCCTTAGCCCGTGCTGAGAAAACGTGCGTGAACGCTTAGCACGGGCTAAGGAATGCTAAGTACGGGTTAAATCTGATCCGAATTGAAGACGCGGTCAAGACCTTTAGCACGGGCTAACGAAGTATGTGCTAACGCTTAGCCCAGGGCTAACTTTGTATAACGACTCTATTCCACCAGTCATTACTCTGCGCTCGCTTCCACACTGATCGGGTCGCTGTAGTAGAGCGTACAGCAGCTCCAATTGTAGACAAAATAAATTTGGTTCACTG